TAAAGCAGAGTAAGTTCTTTGATTTTTATTTTTTTTTAACGAACACATATAATGAATAATAATATTACTTCATAATATATTTAACTAATAATAAATTTATAATCGAAAATTAAACATTTAGTGCAAAATAAGTCTTATTAAAATAATATTAAATGTAATTATTATATTATACCATTTACAAAATAAGTTTTAGTTAAATCTACCAAGTTATTTAAAATATTTGATACATCATATATTTTTATTATATATACTAATGTTTCATGCATATAATATAGTTATATATTAATCTGATTTTATAGGTGCATTGTATATTTTTACATCAAATAACAATATTGATATATTGATTAGATTATTACACTTAAATAATTAAATGTTTGGTAAAATATTTTATTTATTTGTGGCTTATTACATTTAACTAATATTTATAAGTTGAAAAATGAATATAAATATAGATACAAAAATATTTTATATAATTTGATGACTTATAAATTATAAAATAGGTATGTTCGTTACATCATTTAACACTAATAAGCGAACATTTAAGTATCATTTTTGGCTAATGAAAATTAAACGTTTGACTCTTAATGTATAATTAGATATATCAAATAGATACCTAATAAAAAAAAAAAAAAATACCTACCAAATGAATAGTTTAATTTAAGATAAAGTTTTATAATTTATTGAGTATTATTAAAATTGAGTCCTAATATCTTTTGAATAGACCATAATAACTAAATGTTCCGCTTTTTTTTTATGTTACACGTCTATCTAATACTGAATAATTTAATACAAAGTGATTTTAATTAAAATAGTACATTATCTTTTGATCACTATTTTAATTTTAAATTCAATATGATCTTTATTCATCAAAATTTGTAATGAATTCTTCATACATTACACTAGTCGACTTTTTAGTTATATCTGTAATTATATTATTTATAAACTAAAAATAAAATATTAATAAATATTACACAAAAATTATTTTTTTAAATGTTCATGTTGTCGTTAATTTTTGTATATTGGAAATACATTAAAGTAGACTTTTTAGCTTCTGATATGAAAACATTTGAATATTTGTTTAATATTTTGTTGTTGAAACATTTTATGCACCAAATTTAATATTAAGCTTTGAGTATAATGAACATCAACATAAATACTTACTTTTCCATTTCTGATGTGAACATTAAAGATGTTACATGTGATTACAATCGTTAAATTCATAGTTGACAATATGAAACAAATATTGATTTCATGTATATTATGAAGTCTATGTGTATATTATGAGGTTTTAGTTGTTTTTTCACCTGAACATAATATTTTTATTAAAGTATATTCATATATTATGATACAAATAAATTAAAATATCATAATCAATAACAATAAAATTTATTTTAATTTTATTAATAACTTTGATAGCAATAAATTTATTAAGTGTAAATACAACTTTTGAGGATAATTTTAATAAGTTACCGTGATTTTGTATCATTTTTATTTTATTTTTTTAATTGTTACTGTAGCAGTGGATTTGAAATGGTTTGTGTGTAATGATGTAAATATTATGTGATATATCAAAAGTAAATAGTTTTATAGGTATTCTTATTTAGTATTCCTGATTAGGAGCTATGTTCTTTATTTTAAATATTAGTAAATTAGTTACCGAAATATTAATATTATTAAAAATAAAATAATACTCGTATTTTAATGTATTATAATTTGGTTCAATGTGAATAATTCAATGTATATTTTTAAAACTTTTTCCTGTATTATTTTATTTTTTTATTTTATTGAATTTCATAATAATAATATGGTTGTTTGAAATTATATGTATAATATGTCATCTACATGTCCCCTTAATATTATAGATAGATGAAATGACATGGAATTTATTTTATTTTAGTTCTTGTTTATAATTGTCTTTAATGTTTTTTTTTATATATTATGCTAATCTTTAAATCATATTATCGTATTTAATTTCAAATATTTTGATAGTCAAATAATGCATTATGCATTATACGTAATCTTAATTCTTAAAGGAGATAAAAGTAAATCTAGCTATGAAATTTTCGAGTTATTAATGCTTAAAATCAGTGATATAACTTAAAAACACTTTAAGTAGTGCAATCAATCAAAGTTTGAGTTATTGTGACTAAAATACCACAATTTCACTATTGGTCTTAATCTCTACCAAGAGTATTCCCCTATAATAATAGATACTAGTACAATAGATAATATAAATATTATATTATTTAATAGCTTATTATCGAAAATTATATAACTGAGTTTGTTTTCGTCTACTTATATTAATTAATCAAACTATTCTAAATTAGTAATTTTTCAATAAATAGCTTTAATTAACAACTCTGAAACTCTGTTTTCACATTAAGTAATATAGGCAAAAAAATAAAAAATAATTTTAAAATTATTAGTGGAGTTAGTTTTAATATTTAATAATTAATCGAAACATTAACGGCATTAGAGTCACACCTATAATATATAATCATAATAAAAAAATTAATTTATTGTTATACATTTTCAATAGGTAGGTTTAAATTCAGAAATAAACTGTTTTCAATTATTGTTATATCTTTTGATTAAGTATTATTTTTAAAATGTGTTGAAATTATTTGTAGCATCATTCTTACCTTTACTATACTATATTAAAATACTACTTTTTTAAAAGATTTTTATTATCCAACCCTTTATTGTTTGGAATATTTTTATTAATAGACTGAATAGTTTGTTAGGTAGAAGTGATGTTTGAAGTTAGAAATATAAAATTATAAAACTACATTGTTAGAATATATTATTGTTATTAAAAAGAACATAGATGTATCTTATATCTTAAGTTATTTAACAAAAATAAATTTTATTATAGAAGGATTATTTTATAAAAGTTAAAATTTTGTTTACTAAACAAAATTTGTCAAAATCACAAATACTTGAAATTTATGCTTAATTAAAAATGTAATTAATATTCAGTTTTAGTAGCTAAGATTTTACATTTTAATACAAAGTTTTTCATAAAAAGATATTATCAAAACCTAAAACATATATATTACTTATTAATTTTATTTATGAGTATTTTAAGTTCAAATTAGAACGAAATTGGAAACCTAAACAAAAAATTACAATTATTTTATTTTATTTTAATTTAAAAATATTATACATGAGAACTTGAAACGTCCACTATTTTTTTTTAAATTTATATATATATATATATATATATATACATTATATACAATCTGTAAAACTTTATTTACAATAAGAATATGAGCTATGAATAAAAATGGCATAAATTTCATGAGAAAATTTACTATATTATTTTATTTTACTATACACAATGACATAGATATTAAAAACTTTTAATTTTAAATATTTTTTTTATAACACGATTTACTTAAATAATATAATAATAAGAGAATGTGATAAGAAAAATCAGTCAGTCAATATTTTTATTTATTTAGTTTTCAGTACTAAACTATTACAGATCGACAGTAAAATAAAATAAACATAAGGATGGATATTATTACATATAATAGGTAATATATATTCTCTGAAAATCGATATCGGCGAAAACAGTCTAGTCAATCCGCCATGTTTTTGTAATTCTTTTTATTATGAACTTACCTGAGTAGTAATAAAAAAATTCTACCATGTCTGGGATTTTGTTATATTTTTAGTATGTAATTATTTTTTTTTCGTTCAGACGACCTTCAAGATTTTAAATGTTTATTTTATTACCAACAAAAAATAAAATAAAATAAAATAATAATAATAAACAATGTGTAGATAAAAGAAATATTAATGACAAGTCAGGCCATAGATAATTGAAGAAACGCAATAGTCTCTAAAAACTGATCGATGAAAGCGAAATCTGCCTTCTAAATTCATCAGGTTTAATAAACGAGAGGACCAACACACATTGCTTGCTCATAAGATGGACAGACCTGAACAAATAATATTGTTTGAAGAATAGTTATAAAAAAAAACCAACCGTTTCCACAGCGAATACGATTTGAAACACTTTTTAGAACAACTTGAGTCAATTCATCACACACGTACATTATTATCATTATTTTATTAAAAGTATTGTTTATTTCAGTGAAAAAAACGTTCAGTTAGGAAGTCCATATCTATCATCATTTTTATTAATATTTTACATTGTTCTTCAGAAACCTCACGCAGTCAACAATCGATTGGTAAAAATTCGCAATTCTATCACGTTTATTGTTTTCATATTTTAGGTATTCTTTAAATTGTTAAAAGTTAAGACATAAGCATATTTCTTTAAAAAATAATTATCAATTTAAGAATTCGTTTCGCAAATTTCTTTTCATGTGGTATAAACTTTTTTTATTATGTAATCTGTTAGAATATATTTTCCGTCAATAAAGTTAATAAATTACTTATGAGATTTTACTGATATCGATTTATTTTATTTATATCTAAGTAAAATAAATTAAAACCAAAAATAAAATTAAAGTTATTATTTTTTTATGCTTGTTATTTGTTATCAATATAAATGCAATATAGTCACTAATGAGCAATAATACTACATTAAATCTAATTCTTCTATCGCTTTAATAACAATCAATTAATTCACATTTTATAAAAATAATTAAACCAATTAATATTTCAATGTTTTTTTAAACGTATCAATCATTTTTAATTCATATTTAACTATGTATGAACAATTTAAATTTAAACAAAAATTACATAGCTTTGTAAGCTGTAACAATAAAATCAAATACTATATTAAAAAAAGATATAAATATATATATATGTATATATTATAATCTAATTAAATTACAATCAACATGGTTTTATTTTGTTATATAATTTCACAGTAATCTGATTTAAATTTATTGAGTTATTAACAGTAATTTCAAACGCATTAAACGATTTTTGCATCTTAAAGTCAGAAAAAATTAATAATACTACACAATATGTGGTATCAAACAAAATAAAATACGAAGATTTTTATGAGTTATAAATGTCGTTAGTGAAGTTTTACATTAGTTATAAAAATATTCAAGCATTTTGATCTTATTCATTATTAAAGGAAAAACAAGATTTGAAAATGGTTAATATAGGAATCTCACAGGAAAATTAATTACAAAACACATCGTACGCATATTATGTACTTAATATTAATATTATTATTCAAGTAAATAGATCACGTAACCACGATCCGTTTGATAGGTTTAACAGTAGTTTTGTCACCGAACTCAGGTAACTTGGTTTCGTTTTTGGTTTCGGTGCTGTTACTACTACTACTACCACCGTCTCCGCCGTCTTCGTTTCGATCGTCAGACTTTTCATCGGACGTCCCTGTGCTCTGTCCAACCTTGTCCTCGAGCGGTTGTTGTACTGGCGATTCAGCAGCTGTAGTATGCGACACGTGCGTCGACCCAGAACCTTGGTAAGATGTTTGCTGCAGCAACGATCTCGATGGCGATGTCTTGTGCTGGTGCTGTTGATGGTTCGAGTGTTTCGGGAGCGTATCGTGCGACCGGTGGAACAGTTGCGCTCCCGGAAACTTTCCAAGCCCGGCGACGGTTTCACCGCCCAAATTTAGGCTGCCGCCGAAACTTCCACCGCTGAGACCTGGTGGAAATCCGGCTACAAGTGGAACGCCGCGCGGATGCGTGGTGATAAAACTGCCGGGTTGCTGAACAAACTGTTGGTTGGGTGGTCCGTGCTGGTGCTGGACCTGTTGGTGGAAACCCGAGAACAGCGGTACTGGCGGTGGAAGTGGAGACGGTGACACCGATGATGGGACCAGGACCAGGGTCTGATATGGAGCGCCGGGCTGACCGGAAGAAGGTATGAGCAGCATTATCGGCTGGCCGACGGAAGCCGTTGTTGGTTGATAAGGTGACTGATGCAGAGGCTGCTGCAGCGTGTTCGGCGCTAACTCGTAGCTCTGATAGTGTTTCGGCTGTTTTATCATGTGGTGATGATAAGTTGCAGAGGGTTGCTGTTGATGTTGTATTTTTCCACTACCACTACCGCCGCTCCCGAGGAAGTCGTATTGCATTTTAGCCAATGACTCGTAGCCAATTTGCTGTTGATGTTGCTGGTGCTGGTTCTGTTGTTGTTGTTGTTGCTGTTGCTGTTGCTGTTGTTGTTGCTGTTGTTGGTGCTGACGATGTTTGAGATCGGACAGCGGATGTTGCTTGGCTACCGGCTGTGGCCCGAATAAGTCCTCGGCCGAGTAAGTTGCAGGTTCGGGCTGGTGTGGGTGTTGTACGAACTGTGAGTACATGGGTCCGCTAAGAGCTGGATGATTGGCTGGAAAAACAAATCGATACGGGAACCCAGCAGCTGAGGTCTGAATGGAAGGTCCAAAAATGGACGAAGCTCGAGACTGCAACCGTTCAGGGTAATAGTACGGATCACCATGGCGTGACTTGTCGTCGACCCGTACGTAGTGTACCTTAGTCTTAGTGTTGCACGCCGCCAGCGCTGTTGTTGCCAAAAAACATACCTAAAAGCAATACAAATTGTCAATGAGTTGTGAATTTTTTTGAGTAAAATTTCATATAGTGTTCGATCTATAATTTCTATTGTAGTAGTTGTTACAAAACATAAGATAATTTAGTACAATTATAATACACAAGTTACTAAGAACTCCCTAATTATATCTTCCTGGAAACATGTTCGGTTAACAAATAAAGTGGTTGCCGATGTGCTTATGTAGCGTTAGTATAAAGATAATGACGTAATGACCAGATAATAATGTAGATATTTAATATGATTGCATCTTGTCTTCGTCAAAACCATAACACACTTTTTGTCGTTACACGGATTTTTTTAAAGTATTCTCGAACGCAAAAATATCTATACATATTTATCTTTACTTGCTCTACAAATTGTACATGACTAGGTTTATTCACCTTCACCAAAATTTATAATATCATCTGTAAATTAAATTGAGTATCCAGTAACAGTAAACAAAAATTGTAGGTTATAACTAATTTTATTTTGGTAACATATTAGAAATTCTTTGATATTGTTTTACCCTATACATAACAGTTATTAATAATTATTGTTAAGTACATCACATAATATAATACAGGTATATTATTATTGTTATATTTGTATAGAGATAACAAAATGATTTTCATTAAGCATGCTCATATTATTTTATTTTTTAGTAATGTATTAATTCAAATTCTGATTTTTAGTACAGTGAGTATATCGAAGAACCATATTTTCAATTACTTTGTTTTTTAAATCAATCATAAAGAATTTTTTAGAAATTTTTTTTTCTGTTTATTTCTATAATTTTTAAACCGTCGTAGCCTTAATATCCGATCCTTTTATTGGAACTATATTATTATTAGTATACAAAGTTTAATAGCACACAAATAACTCATTAAAATTTGAATTTTAATACATACAAATTGATGAAATATATATGATAATTTTACTCGTTGATGTAAAAAAATATTGGTTTTCATTTGAAAAAAGAAGTTTGTCCCAAGACACCTCTTTAATAATATAAAAATTGTATAGGGTTAAGACCAAACATCTTACATTTACACATGGTTAATAAGCATAAAATAGTTGCATATATTTACACTTCATAAGTTTAGAAAATAACGTTTATGAATAACTATTTACTATTTTTCCTATTTTATGGAAAATACTTTATTAAAATTAGTAACATTTAAAACACTTAGATAAAAACAACGAATTAATCAACTACGTAGAATTGCAAGTTAAAATGGAAATCATTAATGATTTGGTAATTAGATACGATGATAACTATAATCTTTATAAATACGATGAATTTGTAAGCCGATACAAATCATAGGCGTGTTATAAAAATTGGGGAAAGTGAATAATATTGCTCACTGTAATATTATTTAAGACTAAAGAATAATCATTATTTAGCAGGGCGGAAGAATAATATTTAAAGGAAATTTGATAAAAAAAAAATAATAATAAAAAAAAAAATGACTAGACAAAACGGAATCCCAAAAAATTATTGGTATTCTTTTTATATTGTCTATTGTTAAATTTATTTATTGTTTATAAATATACTTACATCAACATGTATATAGTTACATACGTTATATACTATATTATAGATACCTACTACTTTATTTCCAAATTAACTATAGATTAATTTACTTTGAATAAGCTAGTAGTAACAAGTGGATAATAATTTAAATTCTACTCGATTTTTTTTTTTTTTATATGCAATAAAAGAAAACTATATTTATTTTTACCATACTTTTTTTATTATAATTTCTTTTAATTAGTCGATAGAGTATTAAAATTAATACATATTTAATTTATTACCTAACTTATATATATTTAAACTTAAACGAAATATGTATTAAATATTAATTATTATTTTAATCTACTTTAATATAGATTACAACATAATTTTAAAATAATTTTAATATTTTTTATAATTTATGAATACATAATATAATAATTGAAATGCTTATTACATATAATATTATGATTCATACATCAAAAACAATTTATTTTATTAATTAAATATTTGTATTCCAAATTTAAAAATTTTTTTTAGATCGCAAATTACAAATTTATTTGTTATGAATTATTATAGTCTTTTAAATGCATGATATACAAATTAATAATGATAAGTACATAATAATGATATTACTATGAGTTTATATTTTTTTTTTTATTAATTTTATATTTATATATAATTATATATTATTTTTTTATTTTCATACATAAAATAAATTGTACTTGAAAAAGTTCAAATTACAGTTTATATGTAATTTTTTAATATATTTTTAAATTTTCAAAATTATTATTTCGATGAACTTTAAATTTTAGGTATTGTGATTATTTTAAAAATAGTTAAAAAAAAATTAATTGTATGTATTAATATTAATATGCACTTACCGCAAACGTAGGTAACATGATAACGACAATGATTTTTCGCGATCACTGTCTACACACTATTGATGCCGGGAAACGTGCGAAAATGACCAAGACTACATTTTCGAGATGTATTTCCCTCGCGACCACATGGAAAACGGTAGGAGGGGAGTCTGCTCTAAATCGTGCACGGATTGTTGGTAATTTTAATCGCTTTCATTCAAGCAAACGACGGGAAACACCTCTGCGATCTTTTCGCTACTGTATATATATAGTTATGCTAGCTAAATATAATAATGTAATAGGTTTACTGATCATGCAATGTAATCGAGCCATGTCACGGGCAATGTCATTTACTATCAGTGTTACTGTTATATTGAATAGATTTTGTCACTTTTGCATTAAATGGTTAGGAAATTCAATAAACGAGGTACGTTTATATATTGTAGTGTTATATTATTATTAAATTATTAAATTTACTATGATACGGAAGAGTATTCTGATTTATACATCAAATCATTAATTTATATTATATCTAAACATTCTAAACAGTGAAAAAAATATTTTTTGATAATTTTAATTTATTTATGAATCATATTATAATTAAGCTCCCTAATATCTAAATATAGGCAGAAAGATAAATAAACTGACTGCTACCTATAGTTAAAATAAATGTTTTTATTTCTCAAGTGACTTCTTGGCATAATATGCTATTATTAAGTGATATTAGAGTAAACATAAAATATTCGTCAATGTTTTACATTTTTATATCATTTAAATAATAAAATCCTTACGTATTAAATTTTCTTTCAAACAGTTATAATATGGTTACTACCTAAAAGTTATTCAAAACATAAACAATTGTTTTTTTTTTTTTGTATGAATTTCTAGTATTAGATGTTTTTATAAATGTAATAAGCAAATAACAATTAAAAAAAAACAACAACAGATTAGTATAGTTGTATCGTTCAAGATTTTCCAATATGTCTATCATTTACTAATTATTTTCAAATTAAACAGCATAATTGAAAAAATGAAAAATCTAAATTATAAAATTATATTAAAGTATTGTAAAATAAATTGATTAAGAAACAATTAATTTTTTTCACTTTAAAATTAATTATCGTCCTTTTCATTCGATCTATACACAAAAAAATAATTTTACCGAAAAGCCAAATTAATTTTTATAATCATATCAAGTTTAAATGTTTATGAAATTCGAAATTCATTTGTAAAATAATTATTTCTCTTCAAACAATTTTTGATATATTATTGTACTTCGAAAAAAAATAATAATAAATACTTGAAGTTTTTATAAAATTTCTATATATTTACTATTTTTATTATAATATATATTATTTGTTTTTAATAACTCTTTTTGAGTTATTGATAGACGTAAGAAAATTTCAATTTTTTTTTTTTTTATAAAATACTATAAAAAGTTACTAACTTGATCATAATTCTCGAAAACTTAATACAAGATTCTTCATAAATATTTCACATTAAACCCATAAAATCTAAAAAATTATTCAGACAATTATTTTATATTGACATTTTAAGTTCCAATTTGAACAACATTACTTATTTAAATGGCAAATAATGATAAATTAATTATTTTGTTATATTTTAAAAATGATATTCGTGGGAACTTAGATTTTTATGTATTTTAAATTATTATAAATTTTACTATTTTACGTAATAATATTTTTGATTTGTTTTAAGATATTATCTATTTTTATAATATGAATCTATTTTTACTGTTTTACAGTATTTACAGAAAAATGTTATTACATTTAGAGTTATATAAGTTAATATAATATGGTTATTATAATAATTAAATACAAATAATAAAATAAATACCGTATTTATAGAAAAAACTATATTATCCTACTATAATATGCTAATAATAAAATTAATGATTTAATAACATATCGAGTAAATAAATCACTTGGTGATATAAGCTAATATAGATCGTTTCCGCTCAAAATCGTTTTTTGTGTACAAATATACAATGATAAATTAAATTATTTGAATTTAACACACTTATTTTATGATCCAATCAACTCCCAATTTACAGTAAAGCGGTACTTATATTTACCTACGATTTTTTTGTTTCGTTAATCGCGGAATCAAATCAAGTTGGACCAAAATAGTCACGAAATTTTTGAACAATTTAATTTTTAGTGTAAAGTATACAGAGTGTAAACTATAGAGCCCTGTCCTTTCTCTTAGATTTTAATGTAAACAAATTGTTTTTATTTATGTTTATTATATATATATTTATTATAAATAGCTTTAAATTATTTTAAATTTCCGCATTTAAAGCCTTCTGGAGGATGATAAGCAATGATCGTCATATTTTATGAATAACAAATCTTAAAAATTATATATCAAGTGTTTAAAATAAATTAATTTCGTGGTAATTGATAATATTACCTTTTCAAAGATTATAGTCTATATAAAGTATATTAATAATTTATTTCATACTTAATTCAGACTAGGTATATAATACGTGTAAAATAAAATAAACTACAACTATTTTCTACAAAAATAAATTACTGCAATGTTAACTATACGTAATGTGAAAAAATGTAAAAAAGTAATCAAATACTCAACTGTTAAATTAGTCACTAGTATTAGATGTTATAATTTATAATAAAACTCCTAAAACAAAAACGCTTTTTGATTTTACCGGATTTTATCGAAAAAAATTACTCCTAGTAATATAACTATTTTAAATTACTGATGGTTATAGGAGCAACAACTAGATAAATCCGTATTTTTTGGAAATCTCAAAAATTTATTTTCATGAATAACTGTGTAAGATAAAATTACATGCAACAAATGTAAATGTAAATAATAACAAAATCCGGATTTATTTGTTTATTATTCCAATATGATCACATCTAGATTATCCATTTATATATATGGATTTAATTTTGTTATTAAAAATTAAAATTCAATGTTAAATTTTTTAAGTGTTTATGCTATTATTCGTTAAACATAAATATTTTATTGTAAACAATAAAAAAAGAAAAGTAATCCTCTGATAATAATATTATTAGTATTAATTTACCAAAGATAATAACTAATTTTGTTGTTATTTCAATTGTTATGCCATTTGCTCTGTTATAACTCATATTAAAATTTAAAATACTGTGTAATTACTATTTATAACTCTTTAATTTTAGGTAAATTTGATTCAATACTTACAGTATGCCCTCGAAAAAAATATATTGGGTTCTACAATCAGATAAATCGATAACTTTGAATAACTTTTATCTAAAGATAAAAAAAAAAATAACCAAATTTTAAGTTTACATCATTATTTATTATAATGTTGATAATTAAAATATTAGTTTTAATAATTTTGGCATTGATTATCATAAAAATAAAACGTGTTATTCAGTCCTGAACAATTTTAAAATATGGATTTATTTGGCTGTCATTCCAGGCCCTTCTTGAAATATCTTAAAATATTTTATTCATAGACTTGCATCACTTTAATGACTAACCTACGTAACAATTATTTGTAATCTTGAGTGTATTGAACTTTTAAATTGAACGAAAAAAATTAAACGCTTAAGCTGGTCATTTTGTATAGGATACCTACTTATGTCGTTAATCTAAAAGGAAGTAAAAGAGAAAAGGCATTGTTTGTCCAGTTCATGCAAATAGTTCTATAAGAAAAAGATACTTATAAAAAATTTAACAAAATAATATAATTATTTTTTTATGACGTAATTTATATTTTTTGCAACCGGAACAATGTGCGTAAATACATGTCTTATCCATCATCATATTAGCCCCATTGTTGGTCGATTAAAGATTACCGACGGTAATTTTGTTATACAAACAATATTATGTGTATCAAAGACCATTATTAGTGCAAGTATACATTTATGAATAACGTAATATTGTTTCGTAGCGTTTCGACACCACGAAATGCAAATATATTTTGCACATAAAAATAACAACAAAAACATTTAACTTATTTTTTAAATGCCTATCAATATGTTTGTGTCAATATGATAGAGATGTACTTAACATTTAAATATTGCATTCGAATTCGAAACTCGAGCCATAAACGAAGAAAGATTGGGAAGTAAAAGGCGTATAACTGGTTTTCGCGATATAACTGGCAAATAATACTTTCTAACGGCAAGGTCATTGATGAGTATTTATGCTCATTTTTGACATAATTTCTATTGAATAATAATATATGATTAAAATTCTTGATGTTTTCTTTCAATACCATATGTTATTTATATAAATGAAAACATTATAATATTCAACTTAAATATTTATTATAAATCATGAACTATTTCTCTGATATTTATACTGTAGCTACGGATATATAAATTCTAAATACTGACACAGGTTTTGTAAAAATATTAAGAGAACGCCATAATATACTTATTACTCCATTAAATATTAAAATAAATTATATAATATTAAAGTTGAACATTTCAAAATTTTCTGACTTTGTTTACATTATATTAATGTCATAATAATTTTTGAATTTTATAATATGTTAAATATTTAAAAAATATTATAAACACATTTATTTTTTTATTTAACTTTGGCAGCTATAGAGCTATTAGTAGGTTTTTATTACATACACTTTGACTCACATTCGCTTACATCAATAATGACAATGTATCTTATTTTAATTATTAAACTCATCAAAATTAAACTATATTTATAGTTTTATTAACACAATACGTGTTATAGATGACTGACCTAAATTTTATTTATTTGATCAAAATTTTAATCCAAAATATATTTTAAATAAATATTGTCTAATTATAATCATTTATTGAGAGAAAAACAAAACGAAATGCTTCTTATTCATCATTGGGAGCGTCTCAAATTGATGGTAGGAAAGTGGAAACTGTCATTGATCTCTACAAATTAGCCACACAGTCGCCATCTCATAAGTATTAATCAACTACTGTTACGGTATCAAACTATATATAAATACTATTCTACAATTAATAACATTAACTGTTGATTTTATTTTTCTATGAAACAAAAAGTTTATTATTTTTTTGAAAAAACAAAAATTGCAAAACTAGTAATATTTTATTATAAATATATTTGTATT